CCAATTTCCTTTTCAGGTACCTCCAGAAGAACCGTTCCATAGTGTGGGCGACCGGGAAGTGATAACCGCCCTCATACTTCTAACAGCACTCAAGAATTCTATTTAACGCGTGATAGTCATTGAATTTCCTTTTATTTCAGTATCTACCAATATTCATCAGGGTGTAAATCGAAAATACAAAATGTGTTCTTAGTATGTAAGATTAAGCTTTACTTATTCCTAACTGGCTTTAGTTCAGCAATTCATTGAAATGAATATCCATTAAGTTTAAAAATATAGTAATGAAATTTAAAACGAAAGATACTTCTAATAAAGATAAATAGATCAAACTAATACTCAACAACACTATAACGTTAGCAAATATACGCGATTAGAAAGAGGAAACAATACAGGGGATTTTTTGTCTTTAATAAAACAACATAACAAATATTGAAAAAAAACATTACAATATACTTATCATTCTTCAAGAGAAGAATACCAGTAGAAACAAATGTAAGTTGCATGTCATTGTTCAACAACAAAAGTAACAACTGTTGTCAAAACCTTATCATATTATAATATTGATTTATACCAACCATAATACGTAGTTATTAGTTGAGAATTTTCAAGAATAAAACTATTGATTAATATTGAAGTATAGATATTGTTGATGTATCATTTATGTAAATAATAAATGCGTTGATTTGCCATGCACACTATTATGACATTTAAAAGAAAATCGAAAAAGAGGACTTATTACCACTACAGTGTATCATATGGGAAAGTAAAGGAGTTGTAATGAAAGAGAATACAGGTTGGGACAAACAAATGGCCATCAAATGCCCTGGTATGGCCAAGAGTGGGGATAGTCCGCTCTCCCTCTCCAAATGCTCTCACATAGCCACACGTATATAGTCTCTGCCAGGGAAGTCATACTTACTGCCTTCTCGCGATGGGGTGTTGTTTACGAAATTCAAGGGACGAAAAGCGAATGTCCGGCGCTTTAACCGGGCCGGTGGACACTGTGAGTTCACCTAGGTGAGTTAGGAAACTGATTCCAAACCAATGGTGCACATGGGCTCCAGTACCCTGAGGGAACAAATGGTGTATGAACCAATTGTTGGTCACCGGCTACCATGGGACTGCATCTTCTCACAATGCCCCACTGCCTTGTGGATCATACCTTTAGGTCGAAGGCTACGGGTGTGCCCCCCTAATAAAACCACCTGCTTCGGTTTGAGTACCTGGGTAGTATCACAGACCTCACACATATCAAATGAGATATGTGTGACGCATATGTATTTGGTGCCTCCTTGTACCAGTATCTATGTGTTAAAATAATAAATAATAATAATTACAAAATATCTTGGTAAAATTTGAGAATCATACAGTAAATACTTCACCTGCATAATATCCATCAATTGTCTCAAACTTTGTTGTTCGTTCGATTCTATACCAATCACTCTCTGTTCTCGCTCTCTTCTCTTCGAATTTTTTTAACCTTCTACCGTTAGTCATTTCAGTTTCGATTGGTGATACATACTACTTATATCTGTCGACATTATTAGCACACACCATCGAATATGTCAATTATATGTATTTTTCACTAATATCTTTACTAAATAAATAAATGTCTCTAAAATTTTCGAAACATTTATCGTCTCCTAATGAATATAAATATATTAAAAGTTGATGATACATTTAAGATCAAAGTTTCTTAGTACAAAGTGAAACTACAGCTAAAGCCTTAGTACCTATTCACAAATGAGTAGTAAATATCAATATAAGAGGTTTATGCAGAGTATTGAATGTTATCAGTATTATGAACAGATCAAAGCCAGGCAACTTTTGAAAACCTGGAAGCACTGGACATCTGTTTTGTACCAGTATGGCAACCCCTCACTAGTGTGTATGAAAGAGGCCTTGGTTGATTGGACGCAAAACTTGAAGGTATCGCTACGAGCGCTTAACCTCTAGGCCGCTGACCACTACGCATCCAGTAACGTACACATCGGATTGGATCATTTTCTATGCTTGGTCGTTGAATCATCGGTGTTTGCTTTAATAACAATTTACTAACAGGTGTAAAACCAAAGTAAACAATAATAAATACCTTCACGGTTTGAAAATGGTTCTTATTTAACTACTTATGAATACAGTCAAAATCAAATGACGTGTATTTTGTAACTATGCGAAAAGGAATGATTTTGTTGTGAATACTACGAACAACGATCATATAATCACTTGATATTTATCATCAGTTCATTAATACGATTCTTTGTAGAGAATGATTACTAATCAGATTCAAATATAACATAAATTATATTAACGGGATATTTTTATTCCAAAACGAATTTATATTCATTGATAAATTTGGTAATAAAATTATCAGAAAATCTGAGTGGCATTTTGTGTCTTTGTGAACATGTGAACTATGCTAGAATAATAGAACGACAACAAGTGGTTTCTCCCTATTAGAAGAATATACGAGTGTACGTAAATGACTGAAATAGGGATTTGTTTTATTCAATAAATAAACGTGAACAAGTTGCTGAAAGTCACTAGAGCTTATGAGTTAAGTTTTATGATAATGTTTTATTGTACTCTTATCCCCAGTAATTATGGAACGAAACGTCAAATGCTATGTTTCCCATAGATAACTAGTATATTCAATGTATCCCAATTGATTGATCACTGGGTGGTGATCAATGTCATGTCTGTCTAGTCCTTATTAGTGCAGATCGAATGCTATCGATCATGTTGCAATGTGGCCACCAGTCTAGGTGACTCGACACTGCGAGCACTATGTATTGAGATTTAGATGGTGGTTGGAGGTAGCCAACAGGAAACCCTGGACCCGGGTTTCGTGCTACTTGCCACTCGTCAGCAAGGTGTACCTATAATCTTGAGGGAACTGGTGCTCGAATGCTGTTGACTACCTCCAACCACCATCTAAATCTCAATACATAGTGCCCGCAGTGTCGAGTCACCTAGACTGGTGGCCACATTGCAACATGATCGATAGCATTCGATCTGCACTAATAAGGACTAGACAAGCATGACATTGATCACCACCCAGTGATCAGCCAATTGTGATTACATCTCAGTCCTACAGGAGGTTAGTCACGGCTCGGATAGCTCAGTGGTAACGTCTCTGACTGTGAAGCTGGGTGACACGAGATCGAATTCGCCAGGGAGCACCAGTTCCCTCAAGATTATAGGTACACCTTGCTGACGAGTGGCAAGTAGCACGAAACCCGGGTCCAGGGTTTCCTGTTGGCTACCTCCAACCACCATCTAAATATTCAGTGTATATTTGAATAGTGTCTTTTAAATATACTAGGACTAAATAACCGTCCAGTGCTCCCATATTTTCCATGGTGGTCTGGCTTTAATTGACTAATGAATTCAACTATTAAACTATTATAATATCCACAAAACCCCATTCTGATTATGAAACCTCATCTGTTTTATTGACTTTCTGAATTATCATAACTTGGCTTTAAAAATATAAACAATTATGCAGCATAATGTAATAACAGAAAACATTGTTTTCTCTGTTCTTAATCCAAATGTTGAATAAAAATCTAATTCTTTTTTTTCCACCCTGTCGGCCAAGGATAAAGATGTAACAGTATTTCGTTAGAAATAATTCAAATGCTTCACTGCCAGAGATTGTTTGGATTTAATGAATATGATTATGGTCATTTCCTTATCATATATATAGATATATATATATATATATATATATATATATATATATATATATATATATATATATATATATATATATATATATATAGGAAACGTCCATACTTTTTGATGTATTCAGTTTAATTTAACCCTATCTGTATGAAGAATTTTAGTTATTTAAAGACTGAAGCTTGAGCGTGACTTTCCAATTAACTGATAACAACGTGGATATCATAAAAGTGTTTAAAATAACTAACAAGCTGTAAACACCATTTTTATTCCTCTTTGAATAGGTTGTTGCAATCAAACGTTTAGGATTTGACTTTTGTATACAGAAAGAATGTTTAGTAAACCTTTCATTACCATGATACGTTAGTGATAGTTATTTTAATGTTTATCAATTATATTATCTCTTTATTACACTAAATTCCACTGATATTCACTTATGATCTTAACTTGAATTGTATTTTAATTGACTGTCATGTTAACAATTTGTTTTTATTCATTCTTTTTTATAATCAATTTTACACTTCAACCCCTACATTTTATAATTACATCTCTAATAATATAAATACTAATCTATCTGAACTATTATATAGAAATGTTCTTAATAAGTATATGTGTAATAAGATTGCTTGAAATGTACTGCTCTAATATATCACGTCGTTTTGATAATTTATATCTTCTTGTTACATGATACAAATTTATCAGAGGGACCAATAGCTCTGTAGTAATAATAATAATGGATATTTTTGGTCATTTACAGCAAATGAAAAGCCTCGAAATATGATGAATACATGTTATTTTGTAAATCTTGTCCTTATCACTTTATTCAAGTTTACCGAGGAATTAGGATGCATAAAATTCGATATTCTGTTTCAGTGTATTTTAATACTAGTTATTAACAAGAACCAATCATGTGGATGATATATTTTATGCATAAGGTAAATAATAATGGAGAAGATTTGTAGCTCCAATGAATGATTTCGGTAGAGTTTTCTTCTCTAATCTGGATGGTTTCGTCTTGAAACTTTCGTTATTCTTCTATACAACATCATCAGAACAAACTTTAGGTAGAAATGAACTAACCGAATTTCTCCACTTCTGACTCTTAGCCTATTCTGTCAACTTTGATTTTGATTGGTTATTGCTGACCTTCAACCTATCATTATCTCGTTCCATATTTTGATCTTATCTTATTTTGATCAAAAAGGAGGCAAATAATACATCTATTTCATCATTGTATAAAACCTGACGACCATTATATGAAGTATACATTGTATCATCCGTTATTGTAGAATAAACAGTCAGCACAACATACAATGTTTAATAATCAAAACTACTTTATTTACAATTTATATTCATTTGTCTTAGAGTAACAATTAAAAACAAAGAAGACATCAGAAGTGAGTTATCCTAAAAACAAAAACAAAAACTAAAGTCACATCAATGAATAAATCTTCATAAAAAATCGAGTTATTATCTTCATTTATTGTTTAATGATCTCTTTGCTAGCACCTCATTCATAGTTTTATCATAAGCGCTTAATATAAATTATTTGTTTTATAAATTATGACAATGATATAATGATCATACAAGGAATGTTTAATTTATCGGAATAATCTGTTTGATGTTAGATAAAAAATAATGAAATACACATTGATACTGCTTCCTTTTGTAATACAAATTAGAAAATATTAACAAAGTGCTAATGATTATGAATGATATAACATGAATAATGTTGTAATAATAAACATTGTAAGACAATTTACATGTTAAAAACAAACAAACAAATGATGATTACATTGTAAATTTTTAAAAAAAATTACCATCATACTCCACTTTCTAATTCTTGTGTTTCATTAAGTGTTTCAAATATACACATACGAGAAATTGAATGTGTACTACAATTTGTTGGATTATCAATGAAACAATGTTTATTATTAATATCAGTAGTAATATTATTTCGTCGTCTTATATGTCTAGGTGAATTAGGAGCCGAACGTATTTTTATTTCATTTGTACGAATAAATTCCATATGATTAGGAATTAATGTATTTTGATTAAAAATCGATAACCAGTAAGATACAGAATGTTCATCAGCTATTTCACCTTCAAGTGTTATACCTTCTCCACATCTTGTATAAATATGAAAATGTTTCTCATCTATTGGACTTGAACGTGTATGTTTTAAATTAAATGTCATATAAGGTGGTGAATAATAATCTGGTGTATATTCAGAATTCTGTGGATTTATTCTTGTTTTTAATAATAATACAAAAGTTGGAATATCTATATTATGTGTATTCAGTTTTGATGAAATTGATGATGATTTCTGATAAATTTGTACCCATACAAGTTGATTATATTTATCTGATGAATTTGATGAATTCACAGATCTTATATATATTTTTCCAACTATAGTTTGTCCTAAATTATTAGAATGATCAATAATATTATTTAAATGATTATTATAATTCATATGTCCATCATTTTGATTGTAATTTGTGTTGTTATTGCAATTACCATTATTGTCAACATTATTATTATTATTATTATCATTGTCATTGTTAATATAAAATTTCGAAAGTGGTACAGTTAATGATTTACAATCTTCAGTTGGTTCATTTATTGTCTCTAATATATCCTTTTCATTCATAATTGGATCAATTAAAATCTGTGGAAGATTATTCATTTTTAATGAATGATTTAATAAATGGATGTTAACTTTTAATATAATAAAATGAATATGATATTTTGAATATCATTTTTAAAATATGATTTATTATTTACAGATTAATATTAATTATTTGAAAATCTGTTGATTAACGAACCAATCATAATTAAGCTAATAAATGTTAGTTATTTATAGAATCTGTATAAATCAACCAATCATATACTTGATGTAAATTTCTTTACTATGATTGGATGATTGAAATGATCAGTTTAGGGGTTGTAGAGATTGTTAAGTTTTTGATTGAAATCATGAGTCAATTGAAGATAGACCATTATGGAAAACCTGGAAGCACTGGATGACCGTCTTATTAATAATATGAAGAAGACTAAGCTTCGCTTATCAAAATAGCATATGGACTATCAAATAGACTTTAGGTGACCCAAGATATACCTTCATAAGTTTGTGAAAATCAGGATAGAAACTGAATGTTAACTATTTTGTTTATTACATAAAAAAACAAAACAAATAAACAGTAAATTTAAATGATCAAGGTGACTGAACAAAAACGATATAAGTAATATGGTAAATTATTCAATTCAAAAACTATTTTATTATTGTAAATGTTGATTATGTTTAAGGAAAACACAGTGAAAGAAATGAATATTCTGGATAACAATTCAAAATAAAAATATTTTGCTATTTCCTGTTTGTGAATAAAAACACAAGTAATAGAAACAAGAAGAGAACAAGAAAAGAATTGTTTATTTTTCATGAAAAGAGTGGAAGTATAGGTTTAAAAGTTTTTGAACTATGAAATATTTACTACCTATACTCTGTTCATTTCATTTGAATCCAAGATACTCAAAACCTATCAAATGCTTCGAATTTCAGAAGGGGTTTTGTGGAGATTTTAGTAATTTCATGAGTCAATTAAAGTTAGACCACCATGGAAAACCTGGTCAATAAGATATTATGCTAACATCTACTTTTTCTGTACTAGTAAAACTTATTCATAAATGTGACAATTTATGTGCTAAGTTAACAGTTAAGTTGATTTTTTATCTACCACCAGGGGAAATAAGTAGCAAACAAGAGTAAGATGAAAAAAGCTTTTCCCGAAATTAGATATTTCAGCAAACATTACAGAACACTGATGTCAATCAAACATTGATCTTAGTGCGTGTAAAAATTAAGTTTAGATTTTTCAGAATATGTTCGTCATTTTCAACATAAATTGTTAATTTATTAATAAAAAGCCTTAAGATTATGTTTCTTTAATTACATCATACAAGTGAAGAATGTCAGTGAAATGATAACGAGATAAGAGTTTTAGATTTTGTGTAAAAAGAAACGTTTGTGTGTAATGTTTGTTTAACAATACTAACTATCAGTAGTTTGTACTGATTTGTAAATTTGAATGTTATTTTAATCATAACACTATTAATAGTTTTAGAATATTTAATAATTATGAAGCACTAAAAGTTTAATTTCTTGAAATTCAACCAGTCATGTGACATGAACAATAAAAACTTTTTACAAAGTAAATCCAACTATTAGCTTAACTATCATTCTATGCTTTTAGTGGGTTTTAGTTGGTATCGCTAATTACACTACATAATCATCTAAAAGATTATCAAATAATACCAATTTTAGATGAGGATAATTGTAGAAGGAATGTTTATTTCATTGTTCAGCACAATTACCAGAAAAACATTACTTGAACCATAGAGAAGTAATGTACAGAAAATGGACATTAACATATTGGTGTATAGTGGAATTGATTTGTGGGAATCTGTTAATGATATTTCATTTTAATATAAAGAATATCAGTATTCATCAGTTTGGCTATGCTTAAAAGTTTATATCATGTAATAACTGATAATTCCTTGTCGAATAAACATTTATTGACTATACTTGTTAAATATTCTGACTGCCTCTTATTTTACCTCGTACTTAATAAAGCCAAATTTCACAAGTAAAACTCACTTTGATTTGATCAACATTCACAAATTTATCATCATTTCATTTGAGAAATATTAAGGATATCAGTTGAGATCTAAAATGTATTCAGTGAATCCTTGTATATATCACATTACTTTGGTTAAAGAATGTCATCAAGTTCCAATGTACAACTTTAAAATACAAATACATTAACTGTGTGTTGGAAGTTATTTATGTACTTACTTACGCCTGTTACCACTCATGGAGGAGAATAGGTCGAACGCTACCATTCTCCATCGAACTCTATCCTGGACAATCCTTTCCAATTCTTTCCAGTTACTATTCATCCTTTTCATACCTGCTTCCGATTATTGGTTCAGTGTGTTCCTTGGTCATCCTCTTTTACATTTCCATTTATAATTCCCAATTAATAATTGTATCGTGATGTAGTCTGATGATTTTCTCAATGTATGTCCTTTCCACCTTCAAAGTCTTTTCCTAATTCCCTCTTCATTTGAAAGCTGGTTTTTTTTCTTTTCCACAGTAGACTGTTATTGATGATATGCGATCAACGGATATGGAGTATCTTTCGTAGACAATTGTTCATGTTCGAATTACTACTTATAAAATCAGAAGTCTAAACAGTTAGAGAAGTAGATCACTAAAATATAAGTCATAAATCAACTGAGAAGTAAAAACTCAATTTACTTAGTTTCAAATATTTACCTTCATATTTTTATGCAAAAACAAAGTTTGTTGAGGGTAACTAAACAAACTCACTTTCAAATCTGTCAAGTTACTTTTTTTGACAATAAAAATCATGTTTTGATATTTTCTTTTTACTTCAATAACAAGATATCTACATTCCTGTTGAATGATAATTACACTACGATAATTTCTATAACTGAGAATAAGATAAATATATACATAAACAATGAATAGTTAAATCAGATAAAATGGATTTTCATTAGTTCATGACATAAACTTTGACGTTTTCAGAGTACAAGTTATGTTTTATTCCAAGACGCCATTTATAACATTTTCATTGAAGTGTATAATAACTGTGTTAAAAATCACTTGGTATCGTTTAATTAAATCTTCCCATTGATGTTTAGGACTTCAATTGATCAGTCTCGTGTGGTCATATGTGCATACTGTGCGTATTGTCCTGATAATGGGTTCGAGTCCTAGGATGAACATCAACTCTGAGATAGAGGTACATTCAGCTGACGACTCCCAAATAGGATTAAAAGCACGTCCTGAATTCCACTGCTAATCACTATCCATCATCGCTCATTTTGCCTTAAAGATCGTTCATTATTATAAATAGAATTATTCGTATATTTTACTTACATTACTTACTTACGCCTGTTACTTTCAATGGAGCATAAGCCGCCGACCAGCATTCTCCAAACCAACCTGTCCTGGGCTTTCCTTTCCAGTTCTGTCTAATTTTTTTTACAAGATGGGGTTGCTAAACCCATGCCAAACCCCCCTCTTTCGTCTGGGCTTGGAACAGGCAGTAGTCCCAGAGGGGCTCCAGGTGGACTTATTCGTATTTTGTAATGATTCCGTATTCACTTGATACGACACCACTTAGCTATGTATGAAACTGAATGTAAAACAATAGTTTGTTTACAAATTCACTAATAAAATTAGCTTGATCACAAGTTTCTATCAATCAATACAGAGCTGAAAAGAAAAATTAACTATTTTCTCTATTACCACTGCTAAAAATACCTAACTTAGTAAAAAAACACAATTTTAAACCGATCAAGACAGTTGGATACAAAAGGAGTCAGTAGTTATGACAGAGATCAATAGAAAAATTTCTCACATACGTTTACTATTATACAAAAACAATTGAGTGGATATAATTTCGTGTCGGAATTTGTTATGTTCGTAAATAATTTCTATAAATTATTATAACTTATTCGATTGATTTGTAAGGAGTTATACTGTCTAATATGTATCTTTCAAGTTACTAGCGTGACTTTCAGTTGCGATTTGAATCATTTTTAAACAAAATTAAGAAAACTGATTAAACTAGAAAGTAATTAAACTGGAAAGTAATTTCATATCATCAGACCTTCAGAAGTTGTAGAAATAATTTCAGATCGTTTTTATTTACCAATAAATTTGTGATCAGTTTATAAACGTGCAAAGTGGAACACATAACTTGCGCTAGATTCTATTGATAACGATTCATATTCATATACAATATACTTCATTGTGAACATTGACTGATAAACTACCTTGATTAGTGTTCCGTTGTTCTATTTAAACTTGGATTAATTTTAATTCGGTTATTTATTCTCTGAAGAAGTGAATTACACCGAGTCACGAAACGTCAGAAAATCTAATTATTCTACTCATTTATTTAAGTGTAATCAATATTGTTCTCTCATATGTGTTGTGATAATTTTTATGATGGACCAATGTCATTTGAAAGTGCGAATGAACGGAAATCAATATTTCATTTTTAGGCAAACTTAAGTAATATCTATCGATGGAACATCTAACTGAACTGAGTAGCCAAGTAAATACAGCGTTGGATGCTATAAGTTAAAAGCATTAGATTCAAGTCTCAAAGTGAATATAAACACTTGGGTGGATGAACATCTAGTTAACGAGTCACGTAAAACAATAAACGCATTTTTTGTCCTTCTCAGTCAACCACTTTCTAACTTAGAAATACTGTATACTTAATGACATGATCGAGGAACTTCTCTTTGAAAGTACATAATCTATAAGTGAGCAATTAGTGGCAGCCTTTAACTTTAATAACAGAAAGATTCCAACTCTTATAAGTGAATAATGATATCATTTATTTTATTTAAATAAAATCTTTTATATCATTCCCTTCATTCTCTTCTGACTCTATTAGTTGTTAGTTGAACCATGACAAAATAAATCTTTATCTAACTCATACCGACTAATACAAACTATGTAATTTCTAGATATAAAGGTGGTAAAATTTTGAAATCATGTCATTAACATAATGTAAAATCAAATTAAAAGCCTAGTTTATATTTAATTTTCCTAAAATAATTTCCATTGATCATTGAAACAAGGATTTTGAATTTATTTTTGTGTAGGCAATACCCACCATTTACAAAATACTTACATGGATTCACACAAATTTGAGTTATTTCTAGTGTCACAGCATAGATGCTAGAAGCTTATTTGTCTATTTATTTATTTCGATAGTTGAAATCACGAGTCAATTGAAGCTATACCACCATGGAAAACGTAGAAGCATTGAACTGGATGCGCACTGCTGAGGAGTCCCATACTAAAACGAAACGGCCGTCTAGTGCTTACAGGTTTTTC